CGGGCCCGGCAGCCCGGCCCGGACACGGCGCCCTCGGGGTTCGCGGCCGCCCGGCCCGCGGGACATACCAGGAATAGCTGCACACAATTGCACCTTTCCGGGCCAAGAACCGGCCCGTGGGGAAAGCGACCCGCGGGGACGCGCCGCCTGCCGCCCGGGACACAACGCGGCGCCCGGGCAGCCGCCGTTATCCGGCCGCGGGCTGGCCTCCGCCGCCAGGTGCGCCGCTGTCCCCGCCCCGACGTCTCCTCCTTCTGGGCGGCCGCCCTGGCCCTCCTGGTGGCAGGTGAGGGTAGTGGCCTGGGCACGTGCGGCGCATTTCCTCCCGCTCGGCCCCGCCCCGCGGGGGTGCCCAGCGGAGGACCATTGTCCCCACATGTCCGCTCAGACCCCTTCAGGGCCATCTGACCGCCCTCACTGAGGTCCAGATGTCCCGAGACCTGGTGGTTTGGGGATGCGCACGGGGCAGTGAAGTGACAGTGTCCTATGTCCTACTATGTCCACAGCCGCCCTGGGGGAGAAGTGGCAAGGAAAGGGGGCGATTGAGTTGTCAAGCCAAAAGGCTGCCAGTTCTTTTCACGCCAGCGGTCGCATCCGAGGTGATAAAGAGACCTGTTTGTAAATTCAACTCCCCTGGAAGCATCTGGATTCTCTCCTGAAGCTGAAAAAAAGGAAAAGCACTAACCAAATTCACTGAATTGAGTCAATCCGACTGGTGGGGACCCTGTAGACAGGAGAGAAGTGCACCTGTGGATCTCTGGAACGAAATCTTTTTTTTTTAAATACTTTTATTGGGGGCTCTTACATCTCATCACAATCCATACATTCATCCATTGTGTCAAGCACATTTGTACATATGTTGCCATCATCATTTTCAAAGCATTTTCTTTCTACTTGAGCACTTGATAGCAGCTCCTCATTTTTCCTCTCCCTCCCCCGGTCGCTCTCCCTCATGAACCCTTGATAAATTATAGATTATTATTTTCTTATCTTAAATCATCCTCTGTTGTCCTTCACCCACTTTTCCGTTGTTTGTTCCCCTGGGAGGGGGTTCTAGTTGATCCTTATAATCGATTCTCCCTTTCTCCCCCCACCTTCCCCTTATCCTCCTGGTATCTCTATTCTCATTGTTGGCCCTGAGGGGGTTATCCATCCTGGATCCCTTGTGTTGCAGGCTCTTATCTGTAGCAGTGTGCATGTTCTGGTCTAATCCAATTTGTAAGGTAGAATTGAGGTCATGCTAGTGGGGGGAAGGAAGCTTTAAAGAACTAAAGGAAAGTTGTGTGTTTCATCAGTGCTATACAGTACTGTACTGTGACTGGCTCTACTCTTCCTTGTGACCCTTCTGTGAGGGGATGTCCAATTGCCTACAGATGGGCTTTGGGTCTCCACTCCACACCCCACCCCCATTCACCTTGAGTATGAGTTTGTGGAACGAAGTCCTTTCAGAAGTAGAACACCTCATCAGTCTCCCCTGGAGGGGCTGGTGGTTTCAAACTGCTGGCCTCCAGGTTGGCAGCCCTACAGGCAACCACTGTGTCCTCAGGACCTCTTCTGAAGCTCAGGCTTTTTTTTTTAAGTAATGTATTTATTTTCTCATTTTTAAATTGTTGCCAATATACACTGCAGAATCTGCACCAGCTCAACCATTTTTGCATGTTCAGATCAGTGATACTGATCACACCAGTCAAGCTGCGCAATCATTTGCACGCTCATCTCCCAGTGACTCGGAGCTCCATCGCCCTCCGGACATTTTTAGCTACTTCATGGACTTGCTGTGGTCCGTTTGATCCCATCTAGAGAGCTCTTTGTGTTGTTTTTGTGACTTAAAAAGTTTCTTTTGACCTTTATCATTACAAAGCTACTCACACATGTGTCCAAAACTCACAGCTTGGAGTAGATTCGGACTCAGCAGCCCTGCAGAGCAAAGTAGAGAGTGGGTTGTCAATCCAAAAGACTGCCAGTTCATGAAGCCCCTTTGGGAAGGTTAATGACCCAACGCTTAACTCACTGCAGAAAAAAAAATTAAAAGGGAAGTGCCCCTCCCTCCTCCACACATGTCTTTACACATGGAAGAGGAGTCTTTACAGAGGCCCTTCTATTCATTTACAATCCTGTTGCTCTTGAGGCTTTTCGGGTACAGGTAGCTTCATTGGGATCACTAGTGGTTTACAAGTTGGCCTGCTAACCATAAGGGTAGCGGTTCAAAACCACTGGCTGCTCTATGGGATAAAGATGAGGCTTTGTTCTCCCGTAAAGAGTTACAGTCTTGGAAACCCTCAAGGGCAGTTCTATCCAGGCTTGTAGGGTAGTGATGAGTCAGACTCTACTTGAAATGAACTTGGAGTGAGTTTGTTTGTTTTGTGTTTGTTATACTTTTTCGCTGAAGGAGAACCTGTTTAGCTGGGTTTTCAGACCATCCAGTTCTATCCATGTAAACCATGCTTTACTCTGACATCAGATCTATTTCCACCTTGAGACAGAGCTGGTACAGTGTTTGGGGCATTCGTTGTTGTTTTTAATATTTCATTTTGGGTGAACAGTACACACAGCAAAATCCACTCCATTCAACAGTTCCCAGACATAATGATCAGTGACAGTGGTCACATGCTTCACATGTATCAACCTTGTTATTTCTGTCCTAATTGCTGCATTCTCCTTAGCTTAAACTTACCACCCCACAAAGTGCTCAACAAGGTTGTAAAGTAGCTGTTCTCCAATTGGTCTTATATAATTGTTGATTTTATTTTATAGATGATAATATTCAAAGATGATTTTTTTAAAAGCATACAAGTTAACAGAGCACATTAATGCCCTATCCAATCATCTCTATATATTTTGCTTCCTGGCTGTGTTAGTCTGGGTAGACTAGAGAAACAAATTCATAGACACTCATATGTGTATAAGAAAGAGCTTTATACACAAGAGCAATTGAATATTGAGAAAACATCCCAGCCCAGTCCAGATCAAGTCCATAAGTCCAATATTAGCCCATATGTCTGATACAAATTTATAAATTCCTCTTCACACTCACAAAACAGATGCAATGACACTGAATGCAGGAAGATCACAGGCCAGTGTGTGGAAAGTCTTGTGGATCCAGTGGAAGCATCTCAGCACTGGCAGGGGTTTCCATGTGGCTCCTTCAGCTCCAGGGCACTACCCTAGCTCCATGTGTCTTATAAGCAGGAATGTCTCACAGGGAGTGAGTGTCCTGCCTCCAGCGAGCTATTTATCTCCTTAGCGCCTCCAAATGAGGTCATCAAGCTCTGACCTGATTGACAGGCTAAACTCCACCCCTTCACTCTTATGTCTCAAATTGACAACAGATTATGTAACTACCACAATGGCATTACTTGCAATTCCCTCAATGCATTTGTACCCCTTCGTCCTTGGGATCCCCTGTCCAAGGTGTGTCCTTTCCTGCTCCTTCCTGCCTTTGGAATTGGTTGGGGCCAAATTTGGTCCTTCTGCTCCTGTAGGGTTTCTCGGTCCCCCCGGGCATTGCTATTTACTTATCAGGCCTATCATTTGGCTGGAAAACATTTTAAAAATTAAAAAACTATTGCTAAAGAGTTCATTCAATTCAAAGGCACCCTATCAGAAAGGATAGGCGTGCCCTTGTGGGTTTCTGAGACTAAATCTTTATGGGAGTAGAAAGTCTCATTTGTCTCCCGAGGAGCAGCTGATAGTTTCAAACTGCTGACCTTGCTGTTAGCAGTCCAATGTGTAACCTACCCCTTCCCCAGAACTTCTGTTTGGCTAAAAGCCGGATGTAGTTCCATTTTGAAGGGTGTCTGTGGGCCATCGCTTCTGCTGTTCCACCAGTCTCCACCAGACTTCTAAGTCTGGACCTTTTTTATGATTTTGAACGTCGTTCTACATTTTTCTCAGTTATGTGTTGAGTTGCTAACCTGGAGTCAGTTGAATGGCAATGAAACTTGCCCTTGACCTATTATGATTCTAGTCAGAGCAGTACTTCTCAAAAGGGCACAATACTCAAAATAGGCATTGTTTACTATTAAGTTTAACTTTTGTTTGTTTTAAAGACGTCTTCAGGGGATGCTTTGATATATGGTTTAAAGATTTAGGACAGTAGTTTCAAGGTTATCATGTCTCCACGGCTCCACCAGAAAATCCGGAGTCTATGAGAAATTTAACTTCTATTCTACATTTTCTCTCTTTTGATCAGGACCCTTCTATAGACATTTTGATCAAAACATCCCATAATGCTAGCAGAGCATCATCCAGTCTGGTCTCGTGGCAAAGAAGGTAGGGAGGCAATTGGCCACACGTTCCATTTCCTACTATTCCAGACTTTCTTTGCTATTTTGTCTAGATGAATGTTGTTGTTGTTGTTGTTGTTGTTGTTGTTGTTGTATGTGATTGAATTGATTCAGACTCACAGTGACCTTGGCTACAAGCATCATCCAGCCCTGCACCATCCTCACAATT